CCTGCTTGTGTGTCAGCTACTTTACTGACCGAGCCATGTCCCCAGTTCTCTGGATTGTGCTTTCAAATAACGACAATGACACTTTTGAACCTAGAATTTGCCCAGATAGCTCTGTTCTAAAACCGTGGGCTCATAGCTCAGTAGGGAAACTGAGTTTTTTTTAAAAAAAATACTGTTTGATCTTTCTGTGTATTCATTTTTATTTTGGTGCGTATGTAGTGGTGTGCGTGCGTGTGTGTGTGTGTGTGTGTGTGAACATGTTCGCTTCTTGCTAAGAACTTTCTTAGAAGCAAAATTGGACCCATAACCACTTCTCCCTAATTACAGGACCTGAACATTGAGAGGACAACAAATTACTATCTTGCGCCCCCTAGTGGAATCGGAGCCCTACTTCAGCCTTTGAGAGTACTGTCTTGAAAGACCGCTTTGGAAACGAAGTGTTTTTCTGGTTGGTTTTTCCAAGGTTTCAGATAGAAAAAAAAAGGAAGGGAGGGAGGGAGGGAGGGAAGGAGGGAGGAAGGAAGGAAGGAAGGAAGGAAGGAAGGAAGGAAGGAAGGAAGGAAGAAAGAAAGAAAGAAAAACACTGCCTTGGGGTGGAATATCTGTGAGTAGGGAATGTGTCTTTCTGCTGAGTTCTTACTTTTCTCATGTTTGCTGTAGAAGTCACAATGGCCGTCAGAGACAAGGAACCTGATGCTCCGCTCGGCTGCCCGTACAGGCTAAGGGTCCTCAGCCGAGCAACCCGTCACCTCTAATGTGCTGGGCCCCCCTTCCAGGGAACATGGCCGTAGAGGGCAAGTCCCAGCCAAGCATCCCGCTTGCGCTACCGGGAAGCTAGGCTGGGAAGTGCCCGGTTCCCTGGAGTCTGCTGGAGGACTGTGCCAGCCTTCACAGCCCACCACGAGCCTTGCTGGCGTACAGCTGCTCAGGGGCAAGGAACATTCTAGTAACAGAAGTTGAAATGACTGCCCCATCTCTTTAAACTCTCCCTGCCCATATTACTGTTTTTAGCAATTTGACCCGTGGTACACGTGTGTTTGCTGGGCTGTGCAGACACCCATGCGTGCAAGAAGGAAATGTGGTTTTCGGGTCTGCATGGGCTCTCTGTTGTCCTGTCTCCCGGTCATGCGCTTGGCCACCCGAGAGTGTCATTCTTAATAAAATGATGGGCATTTTGATGTGGTTTGATTCGACCTAATTGGATTTCTTGCGCCGGCGGAGCTGTCTTATTCTTATCCTATGGAGTGTCCCACCGCGGGGCCTTAGTTTTTTCCCCCGCGGGGTCCAGGCCCCAGGGCCCAGGGTCCTAGGCCACGCTGGGAAAAACTAAGGCCTCTTAAATACCCTGTGGGAGTGGCATGCTGGGATTTGGAGTCCAGAGCGAAGCAACCCCCAGGCCAGGGGCTGGGGCCACTCTCCCAACCTAACACTGTCTGCAGGGTATGTATTCCCCAAACCCAGCGAGTGCCCACAACACTGGACAGCGCCGCACCCACTGTGTGTGATGCTCCTTAATCGCGTGGATATACACCTCCTCGTAGAAGCATTTGAGTTATAGATGGAGAGCCACACACGGTAATCAAGTACAGCAGTTAATGCTGTCCTCAAACTGCCATCGCCACTGCTGTGATTTGGGGCCACGGATAAATCAGGAATCCTGACACAGAGACAGCTGATCTGAGAGATGAGGTGGCACCTGAGGGACGGTGGGCACTTCTGCTGGGGGAGTGCGAGGGAATTGACATGCGTCTCTATAAATATGTGTCCAAGCATGGATATGTATGCACACGGTGCACATACGTGTGGCCGTGGGGGTGTGGATGTGTGTATTCTGCAGCAGCATCGGAGGGCAAGAGGAGCTCTTCCCGTGGAAGCCACTGGGATCTGTGTCTGGCCAAGCCTTACGAAGCAGCTCTCAGCAGAGCCGGGAAGCCGGACACACCTCTGTGTGCTTAGAGACTGCTCTGGCGCCCTTCCCTGGCAGCCGGTCAGCGAGCCTCTCTTTGGGAACATTCCAGTCATGACTGGGGAGGCTTGTCTCCCTTGAGGAGCACGAGGACTTAATGAATCCCGCAGAGCATCTGTCTGCATTCCTCAGGCTTGCAAGTGAGGGGGTGAGAGGCCCCTGAGTTGCTCACGACCGACCACTGGTCCAGTACTGCCTGGGTTGGGCTTATACCTGAGAATCTGAACTTCTCAGCTGTTGCGTGACCTCTGTTGATTTAACACAATGCTTCTGCCCGTTTCTGCCACTATATATTGCCTTATGGCTGTTGACTTTTTTTCCCCCTCGAGATTCATTTAGGCAGAAACTCATCCGATAGCATTTTGCTACAAGTCAATAAGGCAGAGAGAGCACGGAAAAGATGAGAGACTTGGTTAGCAGGAAGGCTGCAGGAAGGGGAAGGAGGGGCTTTCTGTCTCAGTGGAGCCACTGACCAAGACTGGATCCATGGAAAAAGTGCCTCTTTTTCTCAGCCATCTCTTTCTGATGCTTAGTTTTGACAACTTGAAAAACGACCCCTACACCTTGGCATGTAGTAGGGTTGAGAGATGGGTGGGTAGGAGAAAGGCATGTTTGCCCATTCGCTGTAGGCTTTCATGGCAGGGGAGGGGTTAGCCATGGACAGATTCATGGCAGGTGGAAACAGTCCCCTGCAATTTGCTATGTTTTATGTGATGTTGTCTCAGGAACTCTTATTTGGACGATGCTCACTTTGGTCTCCCAAACTGACACGAACCAGCATCAAAACTCACAGGAACCACGCTTGGTGCCAAACCACGCCGTACAGTGTGAGGACCTGAGTTAGAATTCCCCTGTGGGAACTGGGCATGTGAGCATGTGTCTGTAATCCCAGAAGTCTGGGGAAGTGGGAAGCAGGGACGAGGGCACCTGTGGGAGCTTGTGGGCTAGCTAGGCTGCTGGGAGCAGTGTTGAATAATGAATAGATATCGTCTCAAACAAAGAGAGGGACCAGCGCTCAAGGCTGCCTTCTGACCTCTATATGTGTGCAGGCACACATATACATATACATATACATATACATATACATATACATATACATATACAT